TGGGCAAGGTGTTCTTGTATTAGGGGAGTGCGCATGAGGAGGCCCAATGTCCACCTGCCGCCCCACTACCAAACCAATAATTATTGCACCTAGGTCTGTTGTTCTTGACCTTTGACCTGACCGTGAGCCCCACGGCAGGCACCATGACTTGGTCATCATGAGGAAAAGAGAAGAGTGTGATGAGAAGAAAAGGTACATTGTTATTACTACTTAAGAGACTCTTGTGCATGAGCTAGCTATTATAGGCAAAGAAAGCAACGAGACAGCGAGTACTCTTCAACAGCTATTTAATTTGAAAATGGTTACCTGATGCGTTTTAGAACTTTAGAATGACAAAATAGTGAAGTATAGGCATTCTACCAGAAAGTGTCGATGTAATTTACATAATTATAGAAAACATGTAGGTAACTAAGGACATCAAACTGTGTATCAGAAACAGTAAACCAGAAGTAGAGTTTCCTGAAAGTGTACTTAAAATATTCTAATTTTTACTAGTTTTACTTCGCAACACTTAAAGGAAATAATGATCCTTGAACTGAGATGGTAAGATGCACGAGAAGGACTGTTCTGTAAATGTAGAGAGAAATAAGAAGAATAAAAAACTTAAAAACAATAAGAAGTGTGATAACCTGAAAATGCTTTTTCCTATGTTATTATGTCTTTTTTCAAGGAAAAATTCCAAAAATCATTGCCATCGAGTTGATACTGACTCAGAGTGGCCCTACAGGACAGAAGAGCAATGTCCTGTGGGTTTCTGAAGCTATAAATCTTTACAGGAGTAGAAAGCCTCATCTTTCTCCCACTGAGCAGCTGGTGGTTTCAAAAGCTGACCTTGTGGTTAACAGCCTAACTTGTAATTCACTTTGCCACTGGGACTCAAGTGGAGAATCTCAAGAAAAACCAAAAGAGGCCTGAGGCTGTTAGTTTATTGTGCCAATCCTGGCCGATAAACACATATGGAATTAATTGAAGGGCAGAGAGATAAATGGCTAGGTGAGCCTCGCCTTTCTTGTCTCTTGCTCTTTGATCATAGGACCAGTGTGTGGCTGCCTTGCTTGTTCTGTGTCTCAATTTGCAAGCTACATTACCTGTGGGACACCTAACCTGTGGACTGTGTCGCTGTAATTTGAGGTTCCATCAAGACCTGCTTTGCCACACCATTGTTATTTATATCTTTTGAGCTGGGCACTGTCAGAACTTGTCATCAGGCTAGCTGTTGGTTACCTGCCTTGCTGTTTGCTGCCTGTGACTG